TTTAATCAAATATAATATTATATGGTCTGGTATAGTATTATAAAATTAAAAATAATATTCATAATGACCATGAAAGTAGTCCATATAATTTTTGATTAATATTTTGATTTAGCTTTAATAAATCATATATATCAAAATTCATTTTAATTTTAGTTTGTTTTAATAATGTTATGTGCTTTTGTCAATTTATCCATGAATACATTTTGACAAAATCTGTTTGTAAATATATATTTAGCTTCAATTAAATTTTATTTCAGTATTTAAAATGGTATTTAAATTTTTATTTAATTTTTGTTACCAAGGCAACATTTCATGTTTTTCATCTAATATTTATAGTTTATTTTATTTTAACTTAATTTCATGAATATTATTATTATTATTTTTTTTAGACACTGTCAGTCTGTGTCTTTATTGTGATATGTAGTATTATATTGTCTCAAAATAATAAGCACCATAAAAGTAGTCTATACAACTTGTGCGCTATATTCCAAGTCTGCTGACTTGGAATCAATTCTCTGTGGTTTTTGGAAGAAAATTATTCACTAAAAATTTCAAATCTCAAGACAGTTTCATTCATAAAAGTTGTAATTTTCTAAATAACTGGACAGTAATTTGCATCAAACCCAATAAAAGCCTTTTTGGTTCTACTTAACAACTTTAGTTTTAAGACATTTACCTATTTAGCAGATGCTTTTATCCAAAGCAAATTACAATAGAGGAACATAAGCAATTCATCACAACACTATTCATCGTATGTGTATGTGCACATACCTGTCTTTATGGCCAGCTGAAGGCTTTGTGTAACATTAATTTGGAGATGAGGGATGAATGTTTTCTTTGCCACACTGACATTGTAACGACGCCCAGGCTGTAACCCCGTCACCTGGTGGAATGGCTGAAAATGGGACGCAACCCAACACTGCTCATCCAAACACACATCCAAGACATCTCCATCATCTAATGTAGGCCAGTTGAAAACGGCAGTCGTGGATGAGACATTCATGCGTAAAGAGGATGCCACGAGAGGAGCTAACAACAACAGAGCAAAACAAGAGTATTACAACACAGCCGAAACATGTGCATTTGTGCCGTTGGAGACTCTGTAAAGTCAAGTCAAGTCACCTTTATTTATATAACGCTTTTAACAATACAGATTGTGTCAAAGCAACTTTACTTTGAATAATGCAAAATGACAATAGTAAACACTCAATTTCCTCTGACTTCAGTGTTACCAAGGGGGAAAGACTTGGCATCCAGCAGTTCTGTATCATTGTATGATTGTAGACTGAATCCCAGCTTCTCAGAAACTTGTGGTGCTCTGAACTTCATCACACACTCACACACGTCTTCACACATTGCAGTACTGCTCAGCACCTGACAGAGGGGGAGAGACTCAATTAATCATATGTGACCCTGGACCACAAAACCAGTCATAAGGGTAAATTTTTTTTAAATTGAAATGTAAACATCGTCTGAAAGCTGAATAAATAAGCTTTCCATTGATGTATAGTTTGTTAGGATAGGATCATATTTGGCTGAGATACAACTATTTGAAAATCTGGTATCTATGGGTGCAAAAAAAAATCAAAATAATGAGAAAATCACATTTAAAGTTGTCCAAATTAAGTTCTTAGCGATGCATATTACTAATCAAAAATTAAGTTTTGATATATTTACGGGAGGAAATTTACAAAATATCTTCATGGAACATGATCTTATCCAAATGATTTTTTGCATAAAAGAAAAATCGATAATTTTGACCCATACAATGTATCGTTGGCTATTGCTACAAATATACCCGTGCTACTTATGATTGGTTTTGTGGTTCAGGGTCACAATATTATCAGTGTGCACTCTTATAACACCGAGATGCCAAAGAAGTTCCATTCTGGGTTCCCTGAAGAACCTTTCAGTCAACATTTCTTAAAAGAACCATTTACCTTAGTGTGAAGAACCTATTCATAATTTAAAAGAACCTTTTCTTTTTGTCCAATGTAAACTTTAAAGAACCATTCAAAGGTTCCACAGATGTTAAAAAATCTTCATGGAACCATCAATGCCAGTAAAGAACCTTTATTTTTAAGAGAGTGTGAGCATGTGAGAGGGATGGTGATTGCATCGCACCTTGTTTCCCAATAAAAGTGTATAAAAATGATCTGTCCGAGATGGAAAACACAGAAATGCCACCTGCACATGGACAGAGGATGGACTTCTGGAACATGGAAGGCTGAAAGCCTGCAGGACAACAAGAGGGGGAAAAAAATCCATAGGGCTGAGGGCAGATCAAACTTTTTCTATCAAGCTTTAATATACTATGACTGCTATCTTTAAAATCAACATGAAATGATGTTCACAAAGAGCTTCTGCATGTATTGCATTTCTGAGTGATGCATTCAATGATAAAAATAGAAAAGGGACTTATTCCAATGGTAAAAAGTATTATTGCAATATTATTGTCATATTAATTACATTACTGTTACATGCCACTGAATTACTTTTAGATTTAGGCTGCATTGCCTAAAACAATGAGCACCACAGTAAAAAAGACTACAGTATTTGGCTAATAAATAACATTATTTCTGGCCTAGATGACGTCAGCTGAAAAAGAAAGGCATTTCAGATGCAAAGCAAGTTACTAGATCGTGATAAAAGATTGCAAAGACAAACATATTCTCTTTGAAATAACGTGCAATAATGAATAATGGCACAGGAACATTTATTAAGAAAGCAAACAGGGTTAATTCTGAAGTTTTCTAAAGAACTATTCCAGCTTAGAAACGTTTTAACACAAACAGCATTTCTTACGTAACTCAAACTCTCAGAAAGCCACATATCTTTTTCCTTCACAGCAATTTACAGCAAATGCATTTTCCTTAACTTGACGATGCAATCTAATTACGTTTGAATAAATCATTACCTGAAAGAAGTGCAGAAGTTGCCAAAACAATGCCAGAACTTTGTCCATGGAGCTCCATCCCATAATTCCAGTGTCCATAGACGACACCATATCCTTAAACCAAAACACTACGGTCTTGAGCCTTGCAGCTTGCACTGTAATAATAACCTACACTACAATAGTACGGTCAGCAGCATCCTAAAAACAGTCTTTGTGGTCATAAGAGCACTCCGTGGCATCTTAGAGCAAAAAATTTAGCTCAGTTCAGTTTCCACAAAAAAATACCCCACATTCCTTGAGGACACGCCTCCCCTGCCACTCCAGATGCCCATGCCAGCATCTTACAACATTACAAAACCCCACACTGGAGGATTCAACCACACCTCCTCCCGAAAGCAGCTCTGCGTCTCATTCATTGAGATCAGACAGCCTCTCCACCCCATATTTTATTTTTTTTCTTTTGTACCTAATCAAAATAAGTACAGGTTGTCAAGACGACAAAAGTCATGTAGGGTTGGTCGCGGAGTTGCGTTAACCTTAAGAGAATAAAACAGACACAAAAATCCCGCACTACACTCCTACATGCATTACATCACCCAATGAGAATAAACTCAAAACAATTTATACTAGCTGTCAAGAATAATTCATTAACACACATTATGTAATGTTTGGAATGTTTCAGAGTCAATACAAGTTGTATATACAGTACTACCCTTAAAAGCACTTGTATTGGGCAAATGTGAAAGCAAAAATTCGCAGCTCGCAGCTTTTTGTTAAAGATCTTACATCAATCTTATTTGAGTTATACAGCTTTGTAATATTTCTATTTTGGCAGCTTTCGAAGTGTGTATTTTAACGTTTATATCACTGCTTCAGACTTTCATTGTCGATGCTTTGCTGCTTTTACTGTACAAATAAAGTGATAACAAGTCAATGTTATTCTCTCTGGAAATCGAGAGTTCACTGTATTGAACTCACAACATTCCTTTAAATTCTGATTCAGCAGATGTTCGCGAGGGAGGAGATGAACTTCTCCAACATTTTAATTACCTGACTTGAAAGCAAAACACAACTCAGCAGGATATAACTCAAGTCATGCGTGGGCTGATCTAGTTAATAAATCACTGCTGGAATTAGATCAGGGTGAAGATGCTACATTTCCGGTGATGGAGGCCAAGATGCATGCCAATTGTTTTTCTGCAGTTTTACTGATTATTATTTATTCTGTTTGGTAATTTTACAGTGAAATGTCTTAAATGGAATATTCACACACAAAGGTGAAACAAAACTTCTACATTTTCTAAATGATTCGTATCGGCTGTATACTAATCTGTGGCTAATTTAATGGAATATTATAAAATAGCTTGGTAAATCAATTAAATGATTGATTTGCACAGTGCATATGGAAAAATATAGTTTTTTGTATTTTTATTTTATTATTTAAAAAACAGTGACAATAACATGCAGGTGTATAGGTAGTTTGCTATATGCTAAGGTATATTTAGGCTTATACAATTTAGTTCACTTGCAGCAGAAATCATGTTTTTGGCATTATGGCTATAGTATGGAAATTCAAGTTCATCACATTATGTTTTTTAGAGACGGCTTAAACATAGACTGTCAACACAACTAGTGAGTGATGGATGCGCCTGTCAAGCAACTGTGTGGGATTTCTCTTTAAATATCTAATACCTACTTAAAGACCTGTTCACACAAAGGACGATGACGATAAAGGTTTAAAAATTGTTCTAAATTTAAAAGAATTGCACAACTCAACTATAATAATAACATCACAGAGAAACAACATTGTTGGAATCACATGCAGAATGATGAATGATAAAAACACTGACAGCCAATCAGAATCCATCCTGTTTTGAAGAGATTTAGATGGCAGACGACAAAACTGCAACGTGCTTATAATAAACATAATATTGAAATCGTGTGTTGGGTTGGATGCGAATATAGTTATTATTATAGTTATCTTTATCATTATCACTCGTGATGTGAACAGGGCTTAAGACTGGCGTGTTTATTTTCTCTGTAATTAAAAAATTTAATTAAAAAAGCATTTTTTGTTAGAAAAAGCACATTTAAATAAAGCATTTGGTTAAAAGTAAAGATTTTAACATGTATAAATGTATTTAAAATGTTAATGGAAAATAATGATTCGAATAATACTCGTCCCCATGTCATTTCATCATTTAACAAATGTTAATACTAAAATCTAAACAATACACCAATTAAACAGCAGTTTGTTGTTCTTGTTTGAATAAATGTTTGATTAACCTACTGTACTTACAGATAAATTATAGATATCAAAGACACAACAAATACAGTGATTGTGTTAGTAGTTTTGCGGTTTTACAGATACTGTACTGTATATGCGGTCGGATTCTGCGTTAAGCTAGTGCTCTCACTGAGATCTTAACTTTACTGCACACAGTCCGGATGGAATCAGTTCCACTGGCATGAGCAGTCCATTGGCTCCTGGTAGTAATAGTCCACCGTAGTGGCATTTCGAGTGCAGTACAGCTGAATGATGCGGTTTTGGAGGCCGTTCTCACGGCAGCACTTGCAGAAACGTGCATGACTGTTAATGTTAAAGTTGAAGATTGTGGCAGATGGACATTTTCCATCACATGAGTACACAGTCACCTGAAGAGAGAAATAAAGAGAGATGATGTTAACAGTAAACTCTCCAGAAGATGAATTACACTCTATTGTACTGCACTGTAAAAAATGACTGTGAATTTAATGGTAAAAGACTGTAAAAATGCTACAGTAAAAACCTGTTAAATGGTTAACGGTAAATTCCCCTACTATATACGGTGAAAAACTGTATTGGACATTAATTTTACGGTAGTATACCGTTTTTGGAAGTGAAAAGTACTTCAATAGGTTGGTATATTAACATTATATCAGTTAATTAAATTACGGTATTTAACTGTAAATTTAAGTTAAACCTAAAACATTGCTACCGTATTTTTTACGGTAAAATTCCGGCAACCATAGCTGCCGTTTTTTTACCGTAAATTTTACGGAATTTTTTTTACACTGTGTATTTCATAGATAATACAGAATAGAGAATAGAGAATCATAGTGTTCATAGCGTTCTTTCACACTTACAGGTGTGTTACTTCTACAGTCATCTTTTCTGATGGTGGTCCTGATGGCGACTCTCTTACAGGTTTTACCATCTTCTTTGCCTACACACACACACACACACACACACACACACACACTGAGAAACTGTGACTTACAAATGAACACAAACATGGCATTTTGTGTTTTAAGTCAACATGAAACTATATTTATAAGCCATTTTTCTTCTGGAATGTGACACAGAGTGGAAGAAAAGATAAAAATGTATTACGTTAAAAAAATTAAATAATAAAACTAAAAATTTAAAATGTACTTAATTAAAAATCGAAAAATTAGAAAACATGTCAACAGGACTTTTTTATCCATTTTTTTATCCATCTGGATTTGACTATTGTTATTTCTTATTATTGCTGTAACGTTACATTAACTAGCATTACATTATACATATAAAAAAATTAATTAATATTATTGGCCTGATTTCAGAAAGGCTGCATTACCTACTGTTTTATATATATATGGAAGAATGAGCAATATGTTCAGGAACATGCAATAAGACATTACATTGATTTTAAACATACTCATACAGTACTTATACAACATGTATGTGATATTTTGATATAACATTATTAATAATAAAATACATATTAAAAAAACTTATTGATGTTTAGTAGTGCATTTTCACAAGCTTAGAATATTCATCTATGATATGTGGCCTGTTTTGACAGCTAAACCAAGTAGAGTTTATTCTTTGTAAATGCAGCTATAATAATGAGTCAAACACACACACACACACACACACCCAAACACATTAACACAGCAGGCTCAGTGACTATTATTGCTGCACCTTGGGGGCTCCACTTGATTGACATGTTAGTTACCATGGTGACATTTGTCTGACAATGATCGAGTGGCACCATTGAGAACTGAACTTTTCACCCATATGTAATTTTTGTTTGTATAACAATGATAAAATGAAAGGCATTTAACTCTTTTGAGGGCAGTGTGTGAGTGTTATCAATTTCAGGTTCATTAATTTTGAAACAGGGATTCTGGAGGTTCAAACAGAGGACAGGTTTTGAAGATTTATCAGGGGGTTTCTGCAGGAAATCAATCAAAACTTCACAGCTGTGTGTCTGAGATGGTGGGAGGTGAGATGTGTGTATGCAATGCAGTTGTGTCTGTGTTTGTGTCTGAATTTTACGCAGATGTTCATGAGTGCGAGTATCATCATTTTTATGAAGGAACAGTTCATAAAAATGATGATTCTGCCATTATTTACTCACCCCTCATGTCATTCCACACCAATACTGATGTTTTTTCAATGAAAGTTCATTATAGTTCATTATGCTTTCAAGTCCCTTCCCCAAAACAATTAAAAATAATTAATAAAATAATATATTAATATTTAAATATTCAATAAAAGTCGATTACATTTCAGTGCATTGAGACTTTTTTTTTAGTAAAATCTAAGGGAAAATTTTTTAAAATGTAAGTCTATTTTAATAAGAAAACATTAAGAAAAATACATATATTCATATTAAAAAAGGTAATAAAAATAAACATCAAACCTGCTGCAAAACCTGCAAAAAATGCAGGTCATATCTGAATTAAACATAAGGGTGGTGCATGAGATTTAAGAAATTTTATTTAAATTTGTTTTCCACAAAAAAATATATATATTGTAAGAGTTTGAAACAACATGAGGGTGATTAAATAAAATTTCTATTACAGGCCAAATGTCTCACACACTTAATCAATCAGTTCACTCAAACTAAAAGAAAATAATGGCAAGACTGAAAGTGATAAGTGCAAAATATTTTCTTCAAAACACACACAATGTTATGAGACACAGATAAAGATAATTCAGTAGATGAGTGAGTACCTGTATCACAGTTAGTACTAGCAGTGGGTGTTACTGGACTAATGGAAAAAGGCAACAAACCAAGTCCAGCACCTGAGAAACACAGGGGCAGGTTCACAAACTCACAAGTCGATAACAAACTCTTTTGGTTGAAGTTGCTCGTAAAGCTTCCAGCACGCAGCGCAAACGCAAGAGCCCCAAACCAATGCGAACACACACAAACCTGCGCCCTCAAGCGCCCTCATGCGTAAAAAGATGCACAGACCCACCGCTTACACAAAAAATACATACCAGTTTGTTGGAAGCAAATATAGCACATAGCCAGCAAAGGTTGAGTTTGAGTTTTTCCTCAAAATCACCTCTGAATCCCTCTAGCATGCCATGCCAATGTAATCAACACCACTGGCTCTTATCTAAGAGTTTATTAAAAACAGATTCATGCACCATTTTCCAATATGCTTTCCTTGGTTTATAAGTAATGCAAAAATACATATACTACTATTCAAAAGTTTTGGGGTCAGTAATTCTTTTTAAAGAAATGAATACTTTTATTCAGCAAGGATGCATTAAATTGATCAAAAGTAAAGCAATTCATAATGTTACAAAAGATTTCTATTTCAAATAAATGCTGTTTTCCACTTTCTATTAATCAAAGAATCCTGAAAAAAAATGCATCATGATTTCAACAAAAATATTAAGCAGAACAATGGTTTTCAACACTGATATAAATGTTTCTTGAGCAGCAAATCAGCATATTAGAATGATTTCTGAAGGATCATGTGACACTAAAGACTGGAGTAATGATGCCGAACATTCAGTTTTGCATAACAGGAATAAATTACATTTTCCATTATATTAAAATTAGTTTTTAAACAGATATTCTCAAATGTAACAATATTTCACAATATTGCTGTTTTACTGTATTTTTTGATCAAATAAATGCAGCCTTGGTGAGAATAAGAGACTTCTTTCGAAAACTTTTGCTGGCCCCAAATTTTGAACAGCAAGATGTATATAAATATAAAAATGCAATTTAAAAAAAAATTATAAAATGCTTTTGCTATTATTAGTGATAGACAAATATATTGATCTACTTAGGATTACGATTTTATAAAATGCAACCCAAGACAATAAATGTTCAAATATTTGGTTGATATTTGTTTTTGTGCATTTCAATTAAATATTGTGCAAAATATAGGGATCCCAAACCTTTTAACCTATTCATTCCCATGACTTTTCAATTATTTTTCTAGTTATTGTTAAAGACAACTGGATAAGGATTTTAAAAAATCATTTAATAACGAATTCACTCACAAAATTCCAAGCCTATTAAATATTTTAGAGCTAAACACAAGCAGAATTTCATATTGACAACGAAAATATATTAAATGTATTATGTTTCTGTAACTTGTTTTTAGATTTGATCAATGTCTATTACTTTTTTAGGCTTAGATATCACATTATTTTAAAATTCCTTGACATTACAAAAATATGAGAACCCAGATTTAGCATAAATATCATTTGAAGTCATTAAGCTGATCAAAAACTGAAACATGGGCCACTGAAAAACCCATATTGGTAACTCAAACAAGTTATTACTGTACATACTGATTCTGATTGCATTCATCAGAACCTGTTTATACTGTGCATAAAGCACCAAGCTTTGACAAGAGGTATTTAAAAACCACAAACACCAATCCCATAGCACAAAATCCAGCTTGAGCCACAAAAGACAAAGATTAAGTTAAGAATGTATAGAGAGGAGAACCATATAGCAATCTGGCTTTCATTAGTATTCATCACAAAAACCCTGTAAGCACTTTGTTTTATGCTGAAATATATAAACTTCTTCCTAGATCATGGTGTGTACACTCATTATATTATAGAGAGAATTGAAAACAAGGAAAAGCACATGAAATTGAAACTGAAAGAAAAGAATGAAAGAGGCCCATGAGATGTGTACAGCAGCGCTCATTTTTTCCCCGGGACAACAGGGAGCATCTAACCACAACGCAACCAGCAGCTAGTAAAGCCCAGCACTGCTTCTCCATCATGCTGTTCCAAACAGCCCCCAGCATTCCCAGAAAGCACAGCCAGCCCCAGAAACTCTTACTTACATGTCTTACAGCAACCGTCCACATACGTTTGAACTATGCCTCCATTCTGAAACACAAAGCACAGAGCTTAGAACAACTACACAAGCTGTTACAGAAAAGCTATAAGAATGCATTGATTTTAGTCAGACCTGAATACATTCTGTGTCATTGAAAGGAGGACAGACCACTCCAGAGGCCAGAACTACTGCGCCTACCGCAGTCTCCATACAGTCAAAGCGTGTGCAGTTAGCCACCCATGAACTTCCTGCCTGCAAACCACATCAAAATACACTATCAGGTTAATGCATGTGAGGCTCAGGCTTTTTGGATTTCATAAAAACAATGATGTGGCTTTGTGTGTGTTTTTGACCTACAGTAGCAATAATTTGTGGATAAATTTACTAAAAAATGCCCCCAGAAAATCTGACAAAATTTCCATTTGTGCACATCCTCAAAGGGGAAAATGTTCACAAATACAGTGAATAATGTTTTTACCTTTTTTTTTTTTCTCAAAAATGCAGAAAGTTTCTTTCAAGGGTAAGTTTAGGATTGCATTAACACTATACAGCATACTGGATCATATTTAATGTGCCAATTTCTATGGACTCTAAATTATCAGCATGATCAAAATCTGTACTTTTTTAGCAAGTAAAAGGACCTTTTGTATAATTGTAAAAACATCTCCCTTAAGGTTGTGGTTCACGTGTCTTTTTGCTTTTAAATATTTACTTATTGTTATAAATTTAGCACAAGAATAACTTTTAGATCATTAGACAAGGTTCATCATTTTTCAGAGAAATCATGTTTAAATGTATCAAAAATTACATATCTAAGGAATATTTAAGGAATGTTTATTTGTATATCTGTCAATTACATTTACATTTAGTCATTTAGCAGACGCTTTTATCCAAAGCGACTTACAAATGAGGACAATGGAAGCAATCAAAATCAACAAAAGAGCAATGATATACAAGTGCTATAACAAGTCTCAGTTAGCTTAACGCAATAACCGTAGCAAGGGTTTTTGTATTATTATATAATAAATAAAAAGAAAACAGATAGAATAGAAAAAGAATAGAGCTAGCTAGTGTTAGAGGCCTTTTTTGCTTTTGTTAATTGTATAATAAATAAAAAGAAAAATTTTTTTTTTAAAGAAAACAAGCAGTAAATGAATAGAGTGCAAGTCTAAAAAGGACAATTTTTTTTTCAATTATATTTGCATATTATATGATCATAAAATTAAGCATTTAAATATTATCTTACTTATTGGAAGATATAGAGTGACAAGTATGTCTGCTATACTGTTATAAAGATCTCAATGATTCACATTACAAGCATCAGAATTTCATCTTACGTTTTGGTCATATGAATATCAGCAACTGCACCAAATTGCATATTTTTGCTCCTGAATAATATTGAGGTGTTTTTCCTTCTCGAGAATTAGCTTCATATTCTCTTATATCATATTATATGAGCCATAAAAGCTTGAAGTATCAAATATCAAATACTCAACAAAAACACATATGCATATAGATTTAAAAAAAATTTTGTCTAAAGGTTCAATAAACTCTTCCATTTCAAAAAAATTGATTTTTCTGACTATGATTTTATATGTCAGGCTTTACAAGGTTAACAAAAAGTACCAGATGGTGAGTGCAGATTACCATAAATACTTCTGTAGTTCCGTTTTCACTGGGATATGAGCATGAGATGTTTTTGCAGGAGCCACAGCACACATGTGGATCAGATGATGGGACATAAACCTGATGCTACAGTAACAGAAATATAAAATAAAATATTTCAAACATTTTTTTTAAATATAAATGCAAAAAAATACATAAATAATAAACTCATAACACACAATACAAGAAAATCCCATAATATTGGGAAAATCCAATGTAAATATAATACAGTATTGTCCAAAATAGGTTATATTCAACACTTCTGACGCATTGTTTATTCCCTGAAATCCACTTCTTGAATGTTATTCAAATTTTCTTGCACCAAAACCCTTAGATGTCTGAAAGTGGTGCTGCACCTCTGTTATGATTGACTATATTGTACACTGAAATATTTCATGTAAAAGACCTATTTTTTTTCATCTTATATCCCTTTTCAAATTCATGAATTTCATGGAAAATCATGCAACATTTTTCATATTTGTGGAAGTATCTGTTAATACATATATTGAAAGTTGCATTAGTCATGTGACTTACAGGCTCACACTTCTCAGAGCAGTTGGCAGTGGTGACCTCCATGGCGTAGAACCCGGTGCTGGGGTCTTTATGTGTGAGGCACTGAACGGTGTAACACAGTTCCCCCTCAAAATACTGCACCATAGACTGGCCCGGGTTCAATATCGTTACGCCCTGAAACAGACACACTTCTGCCTTCTCTACACACACATACACACAGAGACACATAAACAAGCACTTGTATTTCAGTTTCACTGAATAGTGTGGCATTTGGAGTGTGTTAGTGTTTGTACGAGTCTTACTGCAGTGATACAGTGGGCATCCACACGGGCCGCCGGGGTCTGGTTCCTCCACTCTCATTTCACCCTTTAACACAAAGGTCACGGTATAACACTGTGGTTACAGGAGAATTCACTATGGCAACAAAATGCACTATATATACACAGTATTCACACACAGAATACATTTTAAAACACTTACCGCAGTGCAGACAGGAAGTGTAACGTTGTGACACTGACATTCTAAAAACAACAAATGTTACAAATGAAACTGTAAGTATATTTAAAAAAAAAATACTTATATGACAGTACAATGGTAAAGTGATGGCATTACATGGGACTTTGATTCACAAACTACCATTTGGTGGGTAAAATGTTTAAATTTTTTTGCTCACCAAGGCTGCATTTATTTCTCAAAACAGTAATATAGTGAAATATTATTATTGTTTTCTATTGTAATATATTTCAAAATGTCATTTATTCCTGTTCAGCATCATTACTCCAGTCTTCAGTGCCACATGATCCTTCAGAAAAATAATATGCTGATTTGCTGAAATGTTGAAAATAGTTGCGCTTTCAGGATTCTTTGATGAATAGAACATTTATGAATACAATAGAAATTTGATGAAGAGAAATTAATTTGAAATAGAAATATTTTGTAACATTACAAATATCTCTACCGTCACTTCTGATCAATTTTTGCATCCTTGCTAAATAGTAATATAAATTTCTTTGAAAAAAATCTTACAGACACCAAAATTTTGAACGGTAGTGTACTAAGAATATCTTGCAATTTACACTGTACTCATGTACAAAACACATGGCAATAGCATGTTACATTTTAGTGTAATATTTCTCTATCTTTGTGCTTGTGCATGCTTTAGTTTAGCTTTATTTAGAAGAGAACTGTTGAAAAAATATCCACAGAAGTTTTCTAAATCAACAAAAAATAATAAATATTCACAAAAGGAATAATAGTGCATAAAGGGACAAAATAATGCCTTCTAAAATGTCAAAAGGAGAATTTGAGGGTCTGAGGATTATTCTGTAGTAAGTATAATTATCTTGATTATCAAAGTCACTGTTTAGATATCTAGGTAAGTGTGCATGTGTCCAGTACCGCAGTGTGTCTCTGGGCAGCAGCTGTCCGGCACAGGTCTCTTCACCAGCACAGCTCCAGGAGCACAACTCACACTGGGCTCAGGACACAGACTCGTATCACACACTGAAAGAGCAAGACACAGCCTTTAAACCCGTCATGTTTCTCCTTTCATTACGAAACACAAAATGACTGGGCACTTCAGTACAGTGACTGCTTGTGTGTTTGTTATAACTACCACAATGATACTGTGGACAGCAGTGATTAGTGGTGTTCACATCCACAGCCAGTATCTCTCCAGGCAGACACACTGGTACAGGGTCAATACAGGACTCGCACACTGCAAAACATATTCAAATTATTACTATAGCATGCCACAAAAAAATCACAAAAGATGAACATTTTAAGAGTATTTTATGTAAATATGTTTTACATTATAATGTATATTTTAAAGCATTACAAATAATTTTATATCTTTGTGTATTTATATACATTTATAATAAATTATTTATACTATATACAGGCTTCACAATTACTAAATATAATTATTTTAAATCATATGTTTAGTACATATATGTGTGTGTGTGCGCGAGTATAATTAAATACAAAAAAAAAACAATATTTTATTATTAATTATAATTTAATACAAACATGAATGTATTGTCAGCATAGAAATGAGAATGTCAGCTGTAGTATTCAAGTATTTATAATATATTATTACCACACATGTAGCTGTAGCAGCAAGCTTGTGCCCCTCTGACCTCCACCAGGAATTGATCTTCTCTGCAGATAGGGGCAGGAACACTCTGACATGCCAGCGGATCACATTCTAACAGAGACCAATCAGAAGTCTGACCTTTGTCCACTGACCAAATAAACAGCCAATCAGAGTAAGGATTACATGAGCTCTTACCACATCTGTATTCAGGACAGCAGGACAGAGTGCTGTAACCAATCACCAGCTTGTCTCCATTCTCACAGCTGGGCGCTTCACTCTGACAGATGGTGAGGTTACATTCTACACACAAAGACACGAGCATTAGTGCACGATGCAGTAGAAATACTGTACATTTTTAATGTGCATATCTGATTTGTTTAATTATTTATTTGGATGTTTTGTGCCATATTAACATCTAAGGCTATTTTCATGGCAAGAACAAAAACAGGTAAATACAATTAATAAACATATTTATACAGAGAATGGGGACAAACAAACAGGATAAATAATTTTCATGCAGAAAGATAAAATCTAAATGTTTTGCATGTATTTAATTAAGATTTTTGTCAACTTTATTGTTTTTGAAAGAAGTCTCTTATGCTCACCAAGACTGCATTTATTTGATACAATAAAAACAGTAATATTGTGAAATATTACTGCATTTTAAAATAACTGTTTTCTATTGTAATACATTTTAAAATGTAATTTATTCCTGTGATGCAAAGCTGCATTTTAAGCATCATTATTCCAGTATTCAGTGTCACATGATCTTTCAGAAATCATTCTAATATGCTGATTTGCTGCTTAAGAAACATTTCCGATTATTATCAATGTTGAAAACAGTTGTGCTGATTTTATTATTTTTTTGTGGAAACTGTGATACATTTATTCTCTTCACTGTCAGTTTAGAGTAATTTAATGCACAACTGCAAAGTAAAAGTACTAATTTCTTTCTTTCTTTCAAAAAAAAAAAAGACCCCAAACTTTTGAACTGTAGTACATATTGTATGTGAGATTAGCATTAGTGATTAAAGCTTTCCAGCTCATAGTATATTATATAAAAAATTAAATAAAATAGTACATCAAATGTGCCAGGATGGTATACTATTTCTGATGGATTTGTGAATTATACATCCATGTGTTTTTTTACCACAAATCTTCTTAGGACAGCAGACTCCTTCCTCCAGCACATCGACTGCATACTCTCCCTCCCTCTCACACAGCGGAGCAGGTTCATAACTGCAGTCGGGTTCTACAGGAACCACACTACCGTTCTCCAGACACTTGAACAGACAGCAGCCACGCAAAGAGTCGTTCCACACCTCACCCGGGGCGTATGGAGCACCATCGTTACCCGTACACACTGATCACATGGAAATAGCAGGCCATTATCACAACAGCACTTTATTTTTCATGCGAGCAAACACATAGTGTGGCATTCTCACCGCACTGGTCCTCGGTGACACAGAAGGCAGAGTCTGCTCGGTGCAGGATGGTACCGCTTTTACAAACGCACTCCTCTCTGATAGAAGAACAGGTGCTTTCCTCATAGTAATCTCGGTTTTGACATGTCCGAGTCTTACATGTATTCACACAGGGTTTATATTCTTTACCAGGAGGACATTTGAGTGCTGCATGTACAAACACATACAAATATGCAAAAGTGAAAAGAAATATGCTACCAGTCAAAAATTAAGCATTTAAGCAAAAACCTTTATGAAAATGCGTCCAAACAGTGTCTGTAAACACACTCACGGCAGAAGTTGCTTTTCCTCCAGCTGAAACAGATCTGATGCGTGTAACAAATGGCCACATAAGCAGCCAGGAAGTCACACTCATGCTCTTTATAATGTAGGTCACCAGCCCATATCTTATCACAGAAGTGTTCTGGAGAAACCTTCAAAACAACATTTGGAAAAATAATCCAATATAAAATGGTCAAGTCACATGTAGGGCAAGTATGAACTTTCACAAATTAAACACAAAATGTTAAATTAAAGTAAAAATCTGTGTTGTTTTAGTACTATTTATATACTATTATAGTATTTATTAATATTATGAATTAGCCTTTATTTTATATTTCATTTTAATTTGTTTGCTTTAGTAATTTTGTTATGGGCTTTTGTTACTATTTTTCTATTTTGCTTTGATTTATTTTTATTTTAGTAAGTTTAGTATTTCAACTTTTTAAACTTCAAACTTGTATTTACTTTTATTTAGGTTTTTTAGCTTTTATTTCAGGTGCCAATGCAACATTTACATTTTTTTATTTTTTTATACGTTTTTAATGTAATATTTATATTTTATTTATTTCAGCTTTATTTTAATTATTATAACTGATTTGTAATAGTTTAAGTTTTAGTCAGCAATAACAACATAGTTGAAAATGGGAGGACAAAGTGTAAAATATAAGAGTTAATACAGTATATGGGCCAAATTATGTATATCGAAAATGTAATGATTATTTAATTATTTAAAATGTGAACAAGCTAAATAAGATTTTATAGCTAATGTTGATCAATAGTATTTACAAATTACTTATTAAAAGCAATGGATGTAAATAGGACGCCTGCACATGAATATGTATTCAAGCTTGTGTGTAGTACCTTGTGGTGACATTTAGAGAAAGGTCTCTGGTTGAGCATGGTGAAACATTTGGAGCAGTTGCCGGTGGTGCAGTTGTCTCCCACTCTGCGGAAGTAATCTGTATCCTCTGACGTATCCACCATCCATCCGTGCAGAAATACTGGGATGTCCTCAATATCCCGGACCACTGTACCATTGGGCAGCCGCAGGTCATCAGCTGGATTACCATCACAACATCCTGAGAAAGAAAACAAAATACACTGGTAACAAAATACATCAAACACACTTACATGACCACAAATGACCGAAGGCTGTTAAATTATTAAAAGCAACATGAAAAAACACATTTAGCTTCTAGAATGTGACATATTTCAGAATTAAACTAAATAAATATTCATGCAGAGTGGGACATTTTTTATCTGGGTTTGGACATATTGTGAAAAGTAGGATATTATATTATTGTTTACAAATATGTTTCCCCACCCATGAAACCTGATTACATCAGCAGAAAAGTTTACATTTTGATGAAAGATTATAAAAGCATTTTTATTCTTTAGCACAAGCATGCATTGATAATTTGTGCACAATAAGATCACAGATACTGATTAAGAAAGTAAACAGGGACATATTTGATTTCATGGTCACTGTTGTCTACAAAGTGCAAGTACAACACACTGACCACAGAGCCCCCTAGTGGAGGTGTTATCAGGAGCCGTGTACTGTAGGACCATGATGCCAGTGCTGTGGTACCACTTTATGTTGATCCCACCAGGTGTATTAATGATGTACATGGTCCCGGTGTCATCAATATGGAGGTTCTGCCTTGTAAGAGGAAGCCGTGCCGTAATCTGGTTCACCGAAACCTGTGTCAGATCAAACCATTATTACTCAACAACATAAATCCCTTTTATGAGCCGCGATTAAGCGGAGACACAAGATGCATGAATTATGATACAATTTTGACTTTTAAATAAATGAGAATTTCTTTTGCCTGGTTAACAAATTTCAATTGCCATTTTCTTGGATTTTACTCAGTTTACTCAAAAACAAACAATTTGATATTATTTAATGGCTGCTGAAATAATAGCTACTAAAAATACAGCTTTGCGTTTTGTTGTGTTTAGAACAACACGACTTCATGACTAAACAGATAAAATCTTGCCAGCATTACCTTCCGGTCCAAGCGGTTGACCATAATTCTGTACGATTGCGTTGTAATGTTCAGCTTCTTAAAACACAGACCAGAGGTTCCACCAGAGGGAGTCTAACAGGAAGAGAGAAGGTAAATGAGCTTGTGATCCTCATTAGGATGATTAAAATAAAGAAGATAACATTTTAACACACTTACAGGTCTTCTGATGTAGTTCACACTCTGGAAGCAAAAGTCAAGCATTTAATAAAATGTGAAAAGTATACAGTATATAGAAGACAGTACATTTCTTCATGGTAAAGTGATAGCATGGGTTTACCTCACTGGTTGGACATTTCTCAATGTGACCGACCATTTTCTCTCTGGGCAGGTGGACCAGAATATAAGAACCGATATCATACAGAGCCACATTATTCCCATCAAACGTGATCACACGCAGGTCAGAGATTATAGAGCAGCGACCTGACAGTACACACAAACATTAAAAGCCAATAACATGATAAAGTGTTTCTGATGAACACTTTAACTTAATCAGTGTTGTTACTGTTAACTAAAACTATTAAAAATTGTTTTCATTAACTAAAATAGAATATAAATGTTAGATGAAAAAATTAAGGTCTGTTCACACCAAGAACAACAACAATAAAAATAACTTTATTAGAGTCAACGACAATGCATAATCATGTTCTGTTTATTATAAGCGTGCGCTGCAGTTTTGTCATCAGCCGCTTTAAATGCTCGAGCTCTTTAAAGTAGGATGGAGACTGATTGGCTGTCAAAGTTTTTAGCGTTCATCAGCTGAAAAAAAAAATCATTTTGAAAGTGATTCCAAAGATAATTTCTGCGTTATTACCATTGTAGTTGTGGATATTCTTATCAATTTAGAATGATTTTTAAAACTATATATTAAGTGTTATTGTTATAGTTATTAGTTATCGTGTGAACAGACCTTTAAACAAAAAAAAAAAACTTAAAGCGTTAGTTCACCCAACAATGAAAATTAGCCCATAAATTACTCACCCTCAAGTCATCCTAGGTGTATATGACTTTCTTCTTTCAGACGAATCCAGTCGGAGTTAGCTCAGTCACAAGCAGATGCTGATGTGAATTGTAGGAATAGTTTATGATAGTATTATATTTTAGAAAATATGTTTACAATCAAAAGGGGGTGAAGATCTAGAAACCCTGAGACCCACAATGGCATGGATGGACCTGATGAAACTTCACAAACTGCAACAACAGCTAGAAGGACCTTTCCAAATAGAAATGAATGGGCAATGGAAAAAAGAAACAAAAAAAAATAAAACTATTTTCATAGACTGTGGACAGCAGTCTTATCACCAAGATGGAAAACAAGAAATGAGAAATGCACAAAGACAGACTCTATGCACATGACACCAGAAAGAGACAAACATTGTCTACTGAATGCACACATGTGGACAAAGGACGTCCACACTGAGAGAATGGACACAATGCAAGTGGCAAAACTCCATTTGGGTTTATCTGTGAGTGTGATGCTTTGAAAAAAATAACCATTGTT